CTTACGTTGTTACATACGGATGACAACCTAATCGAAGAATATCTCTGCGAATTAATATATCAATATCATTACGTTCTCTCTACAGACTTACGTTGTTACATACGGATGACAACCTAATCGAAGAATATCTCTACGAATTAATATATCAATATCATTACGTTCTCTCTACAGACTTACGTTGTTACATACGTGGCAGAGTTTTTCTGACTACTTCAAAACTCAAAACCTTCGTGATTGGGCGTTGAAGAGTTAATAAGTGATTTTTACAAGTCTTTTAAAAATATCAAACTAGCTGGCTTTAATAAGTGTTTTTAATGATCGTATAAATTTTGAGGTTTAACAAAATCCTTCTATTGATGCTGTTTTCACGTGTTAGCCGAAAACAATAAAACGTGATTAGAAGTAAATAACTTACCACCGTTCTTCGGATTACACTGAAAAGTTACCTTAACAACTGAACAGGTTTTCTTTGTACTTGTATTGTCATTGGAAATCATCAACATTTTTGAATCTTTTTTTTTATTTATATTAGATTTTCAGCAGGAGAATAATATATTGCCTGGGGTCTTAATGGATACATTTAAACATGTCTACGCTGTATTAAGGCATTTCGGTATACTAATAACTAGACAATTTTGAACTTCCTACAGTCCATCTTTTTATGGAAATACTTTGTGGTTACTAACCATTTGCTTTTCTGTTCTTCTTGCAAATCCTCTTTGGGGCATTACTGTATAGCGGAAGTGACGTGTATTAAGGCATTTCGGTATATTAATAGCTAGCCAATTTTGAACTTCCTACAGTCCATCTTTTTATGGAAATACTTTGTGGTTACTGACCATTTGCTTTTTCTGTTCTTCTTGCAAATACTCTTTGGGGAATTACTGTATAGCGGAAGTGACGTGTATTAGCCAAAGCTGTTTTGAAGTTTTTCTCAGGACATGACGACTGGCATTAGAAATATTTGATCTTCAGGTATAAGTCAAGTTACATTGACTTAACATACAGGAAGATCAGGCCATACGAGTTCGAATAGTTGAACTTTAGTATAGTTGAATGAAGGGTTAACAACATCATAACAACATTTCTGTATAAGTACAAAATGGCGTCACCCATCCTCTTCACATCTGAACAGTTTTCTTTCTTTTTATAGTGAAACGTATTCAATTTTATTTTGAATTACTAATAATTTGTTTTAAATATGAAAGGAAAACAAATGGTTCGCTGTTTACAGGACCGCTTTGATGATTTGATTTTAAACAGTCGATTTTACGCGGTATGCAGTCAAGTGAACTCTGCCCTCATCTGACATTCTATTTAACATATAAACCAAGAGTTGGATAAATAAACGTTTTCTAAACAATTCATCAAAATCCTTCTTCACATTATCCGTGTTGAAAATTTTTAGTTTTCTTCAAGACGAAAAACTTTTACTAAATCGTACAAATATGTCTATACACTTTTGGATGGCTTCTACTACTATTTTTTAAATAGATTTGTGACGGAAAAAAACGTTTAAAAATGTATGACAGATATTAAAAACATGATTATATATATATCATTCTCAGTGGAGCATGGATAACTCGATTTGCTTCAGAGCCATGAAGAATCAATCAAGCAGTTTATAAAAACGAAATTGTAAGCTTGACTTGACTGATGTTTTTTATTATTTTTATGCTCTATTATAAGTATAATTCTCTCGCACTTTGCGTTAAAAAAATTGTAAAACGCTCGTTACCATTGCTAAGTTTGGTTAAAGCTATATTAGAAAGTAAATATCGTTAGACAGAACCGATAGCAGCTTCCTTACATGTTCAGAAGTATACATGACCAATTGAGGTAGTGTTTTCAATCCTTGTTGCTTGTAGGTAGGAAACATCTTGTGACGAGCCACCAACATTGCATATAAGTTGGATATAGCGCCACCTATACAATGAATTCGCAAGTCTTTAAGTGTGAACAAAAGTCACAATTTCTTCATAAAATAACAAACGTTTTGTAATTTAGACACTCACTACTTAAACAGATGAATACACATTCTTAATGTTATCTTACGTCCCGCGAACAATGATATCAATGAAATAAATGGAATTTTAGAAATATATCAAATAGAACCTGATACCAAAGAACATAAAAAATAGGATCCAGTAAGCTAGATACAAAGTGCCTTCAACGTCTTTCTACTTGATTCAATTGTAAGATAAATGAATTATTTTTTATAAGTTTCAAACATACGATGAAAAACTATTTATTTGAGCATCTGATGTTAAGTTATTAAATATGTCTAGTTTGTTAACTGTAGATAGAAGAAATTATAACTTAGCATTAGGTTATTAAATGATACGTGTGATTAGATTGGTTGAGCATAAGAAAAGACGTTTGATGCAAACGTATAAACATAAAAACCTGAGAGAATTACCGAGTATTTTGCGTTTACGTACAACTACCATAATAATTCTTGGTTTATGGACAATAATTTTTTTGTTGTTGTTTTCAAAACTGCGCAGTGAGTGAAATTTGAACTACTTTAGAAAACTGTAACATTTTTCCACTTAAAACTGATACTTCCATTCGTTTTGAGCTACTGAGAAAATAAAGAGAACAATTCCTGTAATGTGTCGCTACCTGGTGCCAAAATACTGTCGCCGTTAGGAAAGCCAATAATTTCTCTCATCTTCTTCAGGGTGATTTGTTCCATCAGGATGAAAACAGGAGCGATCTCATAGGTGAACCTGAGAAAACCAACAAAATACCTTAAAAAAATATTATAACACACGGTTTTGTTAAATAACTAAACTTTAAAGCTAGCATGGAAAGGCTCGCCCAGTAGTTACTCGATTAACGCTAGTGACTAAGAAATTGACACTCTAAATTATTAGTCAAAAGTCCTAGATGTGTCGAAACCTGACAAATCAAACCATATATGTAAAGCATACTTTCACAGGGCAGCCGTTTCTGTTCATCCTTATTGATATTAACTTTTTGGTTCTATTCGTTATCTTGCAATAACTTTAATTGACTATATAGTTTTTTTTTAAAAAAAAGACTTGTGTGCATCTATATAATCACGCTGGAAATGGGTCAAAAGGTAATGTTTGTATTTCCGGATTTCATATTTTAAAGTTATTAGTAATCGTAAGTTTAACTTGATATACTTATATATATATACCCATAAAAACATACGATTTTCACTTATAAAGCAGTTACATTAACATCACTTATTATGGATAAAATTAAAATGTTATGATGCCTTTTAACAGGTTTGAACTTCAGTACAAAAACAGCAAGACTGCATTTAACAATGTTAAGGCGTTTATTACGCTGGTTTTGCACTACTACAAATAGATGAGTGATTTTGTTAAAATTTCACGTATTCATTAACTATTTAGATCTTAGGAGCAAACAATTTGTTTCATGTGTTTTGTAAGAAATTATATATTGCGTTTTCTTTCATTAAGTTAGTTTTATAAATGTCATTTTTACAACGTTTAAAACAGTTGTTGTTATTGTTACCAAATGTTATTATTAATTTTTACATTGTTAACTTAGTATAAGAATTTGGAGCTAATCCAAATTTTCTAAATTGGCCAAACATCGTGAGATATTATTGGGATTACGGCCGAAAATACTGTTATTAGTGGATTACCAACTGAACATTTAATGCTTGTGAATTGATTAACACGTACTTCTTACCAGTCTAGCTGGCGTGAATAGCTTCGTTAGTTTATATGATTTGTATCATTAGTTTACTTTTCGTCTTATACTATCAATAATAAATAACATGAGGACCGACAAGAATATTATCTCACGTTTCGACTTCTCCTGAGTGATACGAAGCTATAAATTGCCAATAATCAGTTACTGAGATCTATTAAAAGGCTTAATGATTATGAAAAAAAATTAAGTTGAAAACACTTCATACAAGCGTTATAATTTTACCGATACGAAAGCTTTTGAAAAATCTATGAATGGTAGCAAAACCTTTTGGTTTCGAGAGTGTTTCAACAATATTATTTACAATAATTGGAGCTTTTACGTTTCATAATTAATCTTCGAGAAATTTTACTTAAATTCTTGTTTTATTTTGCTATATAGTAAGACACCGTTTCTTTCATAAACCAGTTTTTCCTAAAAATTCAACCAAAAATTGTTCAAATTGGATACATTCAAATTTATTAAACGTTGTACAAACATAAGAGGAGTGTCAAGCTTTCATACCACTCAGACAAAAATACACTACGACTTCGCCACTCAACCATTTTACACGCATTTTCTGATGCATCTCAATTTGTTATCCTCAAAATAGACAAGGCCTGGCATGGTTAGGGCACTCGACTCGTAATCTGTGGGTCGCGGGTTCGAATCCCCGTCCCACCAAATATGCTCGCTCTTTTAAGCCGTGGGGGCGTTATAATGTTTCAGTCAATCCCACTATTCGTTAGTAAAAGAGTAGCCCAAAAGTTGGCGGTGGGTGGTGATGACTAGCTGTATTTCACTGTTAAATTAGAGACGGCTAGCGCAGATAGCCCTCGTGTAGCTTTGCGCGAAATTCAAGACAAACAAAAAAGACTAAGGAAATAAGCACCCACCGACTGTTTAGGTATTTGGAAATTTTTCTAGAAAAGAGGGATTAAAATGAGTTCATAATTGTTGGCTACTTTCTGTTTTTCATTTAAATAAATTCTCTGTTCAGAACCACAGATATTAAGGTAAAACACTTAAAAGATTAAAGGAAAGGTGCTTAAAATTTAAAAAAGAATGTTGATAATATTTTACAAACATAATAACTGGATACAAAACATCTTCGCTTTCCTTCCTCTCCCCGAATATAGTATAATTTTTAACTGAAGGTTGTATATTAACACGTATTTTTATAAACCTATTTAATCGTGAAAATATTATCATATCCACAATCAATTAAACAAGCCGTTTTTTTTGTACTTAATTGTTGGAAATGTAAGAGAAATGTTTCCCTAACAAAAGTCATAAATAGTTCGGATAATTAGCCTTCGATGAAAGTATGAATACATTTATAAAAACTTATTAAGTACTTTGTAGAAAACATTGGTCACTTACATGTTCGTGTTGGCAGCAGCAGTCAACCATTCTCCAGCTAAAGATACCATATCCAATCCGCAAGAAAGTTGGTTGAAGTAGTGAGGGTGAGCTGCAATTAAAAAAATCAAGGTAATAACTAATTTACTTTGTTATGTGAACGCTGAACTTGAATAACGTTCAAATATAACAATTTAAAGATAGCTTTTACTGGCCGGAATACATTGGCTGACAGTTTCTATAGATATTGTCTATAACAACCTCAAGATAGCTTTTTCCAGTTTACACTGCATGATCAGTTCTTGAATATCACCTATAACCACCTTAAGATGGCTTTCCCCAATTTACACTGCATGATCAGTTCTTAAATACCACCTGTAACAACCTCAAGATAGCTTCCTCCAGTTTACGCTGCATGATCAGTTCTTAAATATCACCTGTAACAACCTTAAAATAGCTTTCTCCAGATTACACTGCATGATCACTTCTTAAATATCACCTGTAACAACCTTAAGATGCTTTCTCCAGATTACACTGCATGATCAGTTCTTAAATATCACCTGTAACACCTTAAAATAGCTTTCTCCAGATTACACTGCATGATCAGTTCTTAAATATCACCTGTAACAACCTTAAAATAGCTTCCTCCAGTTTACACTGCATGATCAGTTCTTAAATATCACCTGTAACAACTTTAAGATGGCTTTCTCCAGTTTACACTGCATGATCAGTTCTTAAATATCACCTGTAACAACCTTAAGATGGCTTTCTCCAGTTTACACTGCATGATCAGTTCTTAAATATCACCTGTAACAACCTTAAAATAGCTTCCTCCAGTTTACACTGCATGATCAGTTCTTAAATATCACCTGTAACAACCTTAAAATAGCTTCCTCCAGTTT